GTCTGAATCAAGTTTCGGTTGACGTTGTTATTGTTGTTGTCTCCTTCACCAAAGAGTTTCTCTACATAATATCCAAGCAAGTGCTTTAATTTTAGGTTTGTATTTTATCAATTCTCCGAGAAATGAATATTAGTAACTTTACCGAAGTCCCCAACAATGATGCCAATTTGGAAAACGTAAAAATTACCAAATAAAATTACTCTAAAATCAAATAAATAATGAAAGTAGTATAAAGAAGTAGAGGTCGATCCAGAGGGACTAAGGAAGTCTGATAAATTTGCTTGTTTCGATCCTTGGGTTCAATTGCAAAAGTAAAAATAAGAGATTTAGAAATAATGAATGGTTTAATTGCAAAAGTAAAAATGAGGAACATAAAAATAATGAAAGTATATAAATAATAAAAATTAAAAATGAAAAAATAAAATAAGGTAGAAGAAATAAATTGAAATGATATAACCCTAGGCTTTGCTTAACCTCGATTTCAATTGATCATTGAAATAGATTTTTACTCCTTGATGTATATCGATTATAGTCAACATAGCCCAACTTCCGCATCTAACTTTTCTCTTTGGTTGACCAAAATTTCCAAGCTTATCTCCAAAGTTTGGTCCTTGCTAGACTAGCCACGTCTATTATCATTAGCACCAGAATAATTTTCAATTCTGGAAGAGCCCGATTCAGATTATAGCGTCTCTTTGATAATCGAATCGATCCTGATTTCCCTTAGTGGACCGCCACTAAGTTTGTTCAGAAAAAGCTAAATTACAACCAATTGATCCATCTTCCTAACTGTGAGCCAAAATAACCTTCAAGCCAACAACATCTTCGCAAAACTTTAGGCTAAGCGGAGTTAGCTCTAAGTATGGATTGGATCATGCTTAGCATTGAGAAAAGAAAATAATGAAATAAAGGTGGAGACGATACAATAGCATAACTTCAATAAATAACCAAGGAAATATAAATTCCAACCTTTTTTAAAGCTTGAACCTAAAGGTTATTTATAACTCGAGGGTTCTAAGTAAATAAAATAACTAATTCCTAAATAAAAAATAACAATAAAGATAAAATAATCAAACTAAAAATCCTACTGAGAGTTCTTAGTAAATAAAATAACTAATTCTTAAATAAAATAATCAAACTAAAAACCTAAATTTAGAAGATTTATCACGATAAAAATAAATATTTAAGTCTTTTAGTTATGGTTGAATTTTGTTTCATCTTCTAGATAATCTTATCCCAGGTAAATTTCAAATTAAATATTTGAGATAATTTTTCTTGTCTTCTAGAAGATACTGACTCGATTGTTGAAATATATTGGTTTTGGGCTAATTAAACCAATGAAACTCAAGTCCAAAATAAATCTAAAAGGAAACAAATCAGTAATACCCAAGCAACAAATGAGGAGTAAATAATAGTAAAAATATGTAATATTCAACACTTATCAATAGTTGGCATAAGCGGTTACGAAGGAGGTGTTGTTTCTTACTATGGTTCTGTCTAGGATCTTGAATATATGCATTTCTTCTTCAAGACCTTGATTCGCTTATGTTCTAGTTGTTTCTTTCGTGATTTCTCCTTCTCTCCTTCTCTGCATGTTTGTTCTCAAGTTTGTTTCTTTTTGCATGTACTGTCGGAGTTTGTTTCTTTTTGCATGTACTGTCGGAGTTTGTTTCTTTTTGCATGTACTACCGAAGTTTGTTTCTTTGCATGTTTTACGAGATAAGGGCCTTTAAAGGCTAAATATTTTGGAAAATTGTTAATTTTGAGGTTTATAGGTCTCTTAATCTTGAAGGCTTTTGGAATCTAAGGGTTTAAAAGTTTTAGGATTTGCATGGTTGAATATATGAAAATCAAGAGATTTGAAGGTTTAGAAATCCAAAGGCCTTAAAGTTTGAAGGTTGAAGATCTAAAAATTTGGGAATTGACAGTTTGGAGATCTGGAGGTCTCGTATTTAGTTCACGCTCATCGCAATAAATGTCGACTGATAAAGTAGCTAACAGTCATGGAAGGTGGTCGAAGGGTTGTCTGAGTCATGAGAAAGGAGGCTGGAGAGTAGATTTTGTCCTTAGAACTTTATACTTTCTCTTGTATGTCTATTTATAGAACTTTAGGGACTGACATTGATTGGGAGTTGTCATATTGTTGGCCTTGATTAGCTGCCTTGGAGGGTGACGTGATGAGTGTTGATTGATTATTCAAAGTTGTCACATTATTGGTCCTGATTGGTTATCTTAGGAGGTGACGATTCAGGCTAAGACGCAACGCGTGTTAGCACGTGGTAATTATTGATTACACCTGAAGTGGGTTCGCACGAATATTAGGCGGTTCATATGTGGTCACTTGCAGGATAAGAGACTCACACATTCCTTACGTACGCGGGGTAACAAGAATTGCAGATCCATCAGTTTACAGGTGCTAACATATTTTAATATTATTTTAATAAAATATTAATTATTAATAATATAATATTATATATTTTAAAATTATAATAATATACTCAATTATGTTATAATAATATATGATATTATATTCTTATTTGCCAACTAATGAAAATGATTTACATAATATAATCTGAACACCCTAAAATAGTTTTCAAAAACTATTTTTCAAAAAATAGAATTCATTTTATAAAAAAATTATTTTTCGTAAAATGTTTATGGTAAAATCAACCTACCTTTAAATTTGTCGAGTGTTGACTAGGCAAAGTAAGAGTATGATGAAGGGTCAAGGATTAAGGGTGAAAAAGGTTTGCACACACAACATATACCATTCATATTGGTTTTATTACTATCACAGTCACTTTCTGATCTTACTTCTTCACCTTTTGCTTTTCATCTTTCTTTCTTCAAGTGTCGACTTATTCAAAAACCGGGTAGTTTTTACTACTTTCTTATTACATCTTTTTACTTACTTTGTTTATGCATATGTCACATATATGTACTATGCTTTGCATACATGATATGACATGATAAGTATGATCCTTACATGCCATGATTAGCTTAGTTCATGTCATTCTATACTTAGTTTATTTCGTGCATACTATGTTAAGAATAGCCTATAGTCTTCATGTTATAATACTACTATACTTTGCTTGACATTATGCATTTCATCCACATCTTTACTTAGCCTATTATATGTTTATGCATTCATACTTAGCTCATCTTATGCATATGTACACTTATCTAGCTCATAACTAGCTTTTACCTAGGCAGCATAGTGCATTCTTATTCTTTTACATTGATTCGTGACTTATGTCATTGTTTTCTTTGCATTTGTAGGTTCATTTGATGATAAGGAAGGTTATAGAAGCTCGTGGATAGCTAACGCAATCTATGATAGCTTGTGCAAGCTCAATTACATCAAGGGTAGCTCATTTTAGCTAAAGGCATAAGGATACTAGCTCGAGAGTAGCTGAAGGAGTTGAACGAGTGCTGAAACTAGTTGAAGAGTAGATGAGGACTCATGGCAGCTGGAGGCAGCTAGAGTGACACTAGTTACCTAGCTAAGCTACCTACATCACCTTGCTAGCTAGCTTGCTTCAATAGCTACATATGTCACTACCTAGCATCATCCTACACCAAGAACACATCCTATGGCTAATAGTGTACCTTACCATGGTATGGAGAAGCATACAACATCAAGGGAGCCATGTGCCTTAAGCATGCTTTCATATGAATTCAATCCAAATCATGTGCATATCATGTCAAGAACATTGGCGCCAAACTCCAATGCACTCTTCACCATTCCGCAATGCACTCCCCACCACACAATTAGGTGCCTAAGTGAAGCATCACCTACCCATTTGGCCAAGGCTCTTTGTTCACCACTCATTTCAAACTCTAGGTCGAACCAATACCTTCTATTAGACCAAAGGAAGCACCTACAACATGAAGAAGTAACCGAACCAACACAAGCATCATAGGAGAGGTTTCTTTGTAATTTAATCATGGACTTTCATAGGGACAAAAGAATAGTCGAACCATTACTTGTTTATTCAGTCATTTCCTTTCATTCCCTATATATAGTTAATGCCTTGTCTTTTGTAAGGCAACCCCCCGTGCTTGATTATTATATTTGTGAGGTTATCCTCTTTGCTAAAGCTCTTTAGAACTTTTATCGACTTATCAAATATTTAGGTGCTTGTGGCGTCAACCCCTTTACTTCCATTGATACTTGTGTTTCCTAGTTCTTTTATAACTAGTGGGGCCAAGTCCTTTATTACCACCCTTAGATAACTTATAAGGAAAGGTGTTAGACTTTTTATAGTCTAGTTTCTTCCTTGTTATTTAAGATAAATGGTTGTTCCTTTTTCCCATATGTATGGGGTAAGGGGGAGGTAAGATAGTAGACTGTCACAACACCAAGTTGAGAACAGCTTCCGTAAGAGATCTCCGAATTATGAAATACCCTTCGTAGGACTTATTTAAGATACTATCCACCTTATTTCCATTGTTTCTTAAGCTCATCACCATGCCCAAATTACTTCCACAGCCATACTCTTTATCATCATCATTCTAGCCCACCTATATCACCCTTACATCAGCTATCTAGCCCTCCATTTGAGTTTATCTTCTAACAGGTATTTACTCATTCACTAGATTCACAATCAAAGGGCAGTTTACCCTACATGACTTTCCAAATCATTTAAGATATAATTGAATAAAATCTATTCGAATCGCAAGCTTTTGTGGGTGGATAACTAAATTTTAGATTTTTTATTAAAAAAATTCCATGTTTTCGAAATATCATTAAGTTTTGATCAATGAAATGAATAGGAGTGTGGTTGGGCAATATTAGTTTATTTCTCACTTTCTGCAGGAAATGGAGTAGGTAGTTTGTTGTGGTGGAAAGCCATTATGATGTCTCAAACTTTAATAACCAAAAGGCATTAAAAAAGAAGCGATACGAAACTACTTTTAAAAATTGATTGATGTTTAAATGGACGTTTGATGGAGCACGAAGAGGCTGTGGGATTGAGAGTTGTTATGTTTAGCTTTATATGATTACTGTTCCCTCTGCATAATCCAAAACCTAATCTTGTTTGATTCTTCCAATTTGCAGAGGAAATGAGAGACTGGGCTGCTCCCTTGATAGCTTCAGCGCTGTTTGCATTTCTATCGCCAGGGCTGATCCTGCAAATCCCTGGGAAGAACCAACCCATTGGTTTCATGAACATGAAAACAAGTGTGGCTTCCATATTTGTTCATGCTGTTCTCTATGTTTTGTTCCTCATCCTGTTTCTTGTTGTTCTTCATATTCACCTCCCTGCCTGAAAACAACATGAGCTTTTCATTTTCTACTTTGCTGTTTTCTGCTCCCATTATGTAGACTTATTTGGCTTTTGTAGTTTTGCTGGAAGAAGGAACTTTAAGGAGAGATATGTCACTGCTCTGTTACTCGGGCTCTTAAATTAATCCTAACTGCTAGGCATATGGAAATTTGGCAACCTAGAAATAGGTATGAAAATTAACAGAGTTTGAATGAAAAAAGTAGTGTTTGTGTTTGTTTGTTATTTTTAAAGGTGTTCATGTTCGTTTGTTTGCCGTTTGTATACATATTCATTTAATATACGTTTATAAGTTCATGAACATTATCACTTAGCATTCGTGAATTTGTTCATTTCAATCTAAAAATAGTAAAATTACGATGCTCGTGCTTAAACTCCTTAAACTCCTTAAACTTCATATTTTAAACTCCACATTTTATCATATGTTTCTATTTAATCCCTACATTCACCAATATTTAAAATGTAAGAAAATAAAAAGTAAACGAGTCAGTTCATGAACATAAATGAACGAGTTGATAAGTGAGCTTGTTCGTGAACATAGATGAATCGAGTCGATAAACAAGCTCATAAACGAGTTTGTTTGTGAACATAAACGAACCAAACACACCTTTGTTTTTGTTCATTCGTTTATGAAATGAATATAAAAATTTTGTCCATACTCACTTATCTAGTTTAACAAACGAACATTATTCAAACTACTGTTCATCTAACTATATGTTTATTTACACCCTTACCTAGAAACCTGTTGGGTCTAATATGAGCTTAAGGGAAAATGATTCCTAAGAATGACTGCATGAACCAATTAGATTAAGCATCAGTTAATAAAGCAATGGTATAAAGAAAAAGAAAAAGAAAACAATGATTCTGGGGGACCATAAAAAAGACTGAAGTAGATCCACAAACGAGAATCAAAACATTTTTTATCAACTTTTTGTAATGTGAAGGATAAAATCAAATGAAAAACAAAACTAACCATATGGCAAATTTGGTTTAGACTACACAAATGCAGACAAAAACTGAACTTAAAATACATAAAAACCCACAAGTTAAGAAATCTCTGTTAAAGTTTGTAACAGAGTTGGGTGCTTGTTTGTTTGTGAGCTACGAACCAACATACATATGCACACCAATAGCAATGAGGAAGATACACATGAGTGCAAAATAAATAATGGAATGCACCAGGATGGACACCCCACTGGTCTGAAAGTTGCCAAACTCTACATAACGCGATCTTCCAGGAATCTGAATGAGCAGCCCCGGTGTTAGCAGTAGGAACAGCATCACCGCCACGAAAACCGGCCCCCAATCCGACATCTTCCCCCTCTCAGCAACACAAGAACCCTTCAATGTAGATCACTTGGCGTTAGTAATCCAATCTGTAATGATTATAAAGAGTGGAGATGGAAATGAGAAACAAACGAAAAAGATGGGTTATAAAGGTAGTGTTTGCTTTGTGAAGAAGAGACGAATGGTTTGGTGAGTAGGAAAAGCCAAGATTAGCGAATCAAGCTATTCTGACTGATTCACATCTTTTAGTGACAAAATGTTATGGTTGCCACTAACCATTTAAGCTCCCAAAGCTGTTTGGATTTCGTTTTATTAACTTAGGTAAACTGCTCAAATGACCAATTAACTATGGGGTTGGTGTCTATATGACCAAAATACTTTCAATTTTGTTAATAAGGCCACATAACTATTAAAATTGTTTCAATGTAGCCACATGCCATTATAAAACAAACAACGTATCTGATGTAGACCTCTAACTCGTTATTAGTCAATAACAACCACATTAGTTACGTCGTTCGTTATGTAATGACAAGTGACTACATTTAGTGGCAAATGTAAGCTTTGCCTAGAGTGGGCACATGCTTACCATGGAATTCGAATATATTTTTTATTTTGTAGTTTATTTTAGAGATAGTTCTCATTCTGAAATTTTATGCGTCTACCACATACGAGAAATTTATATTATTAATATATACGTGCCCACACTCAAATATTTCAGGATCCGCCACTGGCTACATTGAAACAACTTAAATAGTTATGTGGTCATATTTACAAAATTAAAAGTATGGTGGTCATATCGACACCGACCCCATAATTAAGTAGTCATTTGAGCAATCTACCCTATTAACTCTCACTAAACGAGTATATTGAATCAACTTAAATAATTATGTGGTTATGTTGACAAAATTGAAAGTATGGTGGTCATATCGACACCGACCCCATAGTTTAGTGGTCATTTGAGTAATTTACCCTAATAGCTTTCACTAATCAAGTTTGTCCATGCCTGCAAACTCTACAATCAAGTAGTTTAGTTGATTAAATTAGTGACTCGAATTTTGAATCAAAATTTATCCATGTTATTGAGAAGCTTTAAGATTGGAATAAAGTATAGGTTACACATGGTAGATGACCCCATGGTCACGCCAAGTGAGAAGAAAGCATAAACTATAACTGGTAGGCTTCAGCCTTAAGCCTTAGGCCTTGTTGTCACATTCTTTTGTCCAATTGATCAATAATAATTAAAGCTTTGATGTATAATTAAGGATATCTTGGTTGCAATTGCAATAGATGGGAGTCAACAAATTCCAGTGCTGTTAGCTGCTTGCACTCTATATACTAATTTGTTTTAATTTATAATTTTATTTATATTGGACGGCATTGTTGTGATTATATTGCCAAATTAATCCCAAAATAATATGTTATTTATTTTAAGGTAAAATGGAATAAAAGATTGATCAAGTTACTTTAACCATATAAAGCAAAATAAAATTTCTATGTAAAATTTCTATGGGTTAACAAAACTCTATTCAATTAAAAAAATTGTTTGACTTGAGTCAGTGTTAAAAAATACGACTTGACTTGACTCGACTCGTAATTTTATAAACTTTATTCGGCTAAAAAATCAAATAAAGTTTGAGTTATAAAATAGAACTCGAATCTTTTAATAATTAGTAAATTGAATTTCATGTTCGAGTTGAGTCCTTCAACTCTGCATCTTATATGTATATTCCATATAAAAAAATATGAGTAAATATATGTGTATATCAGATTTGTTTATAGAAATATGTTTAAATTAGAATTAATTAGCACTATAATATTATAAATATTTACAATTGAATTTAAACAGAAACTTAAAACTTTTGACTCGATTTGACTCGAATTTCATAAATCCAAATCAAAGAATTTTAAATAAAATTTGAATTTTAAAATATAACTGATTAACTCAAATAACTTATTTATTTAATTCGACTCGACTCTTCAAATACTAACCCCTAATTATTAAGAAGCCGAAGCGAATACCTACACTAGAAGGAGCTAAGGATTTAAAGCCTTCAACTAAAATATGGGCTTAACGCCTTAAAATAAAAATGTTAACGACACCGACAGCTAGCAAAGCCCATCAGATCTCAAGTTTGGTGATACCAATAACTGATGAAAAGAGATCATAAATCTTTCCTAATAATAATATTTAAAATTAAATATCTCAAGATTGAATATAATTAATACATATTTGGGTAAATTATGTGTTTAGTATCTAAACTATCAGTTTTAATCCATTTTAATACCAAAACTTTTAATTTTTTTCAAAATCATACCTAAAGTTTAGTTTTTATTTCATTTTAATACTACTCATGCTCAAAATTTTAACGTTAATTTGAAAAAAGTTAAAAGTTTAGGTATTAAAATTGACCAAAATTGATAGTTTAAGTACTAAATATGTTATGTTTTTAATTGTGGAGTGCTAAAATGAAACAAAAATTAAACATTAGGTATAATTTAAAAAAAATTAAAAGTTTAGATACTGAAACGGATTAAAAATGATAGTTTGGATACTAAATGTGTGGTTTACCCTAAAAAATTTATAATATCAATATTAAACAGTTCACTTGTGACCATCTGTAAATATATTTTTATATGAAATATTGACAATAGCGTAACATAACATAATTATACATTGATACATCATTTTCAAGGATCCCTATACAATAAAACCAACTTTTACACCTCAACTAGAAAAGGATGGGAAGATGAGGGTAGATGTAGAATAAGAATTATTTATTTATTTTGACCTAATGATATTTTTAGCTTTTTATTTTTTCCAAAAAGTGTTTTTAAAAACTTTTTGTTTTCTATTTTGATCTTTGAATTTCATTTTTTTTTCATATTGAACTAACTAACTATTTTGTGGTTAGGTTTTGGTTCAATTTAAAAATATAATTTTATAATTTGATTAAATTTTTGATTTTTCTGAATGAAAAATGTTTGTTCTAAATCAAACCAAATTTAAAAATAAAATATTATCTAAAAAATTATTTTAATTTTATTATAGGACAAACTTAAATAAATAAAATCTTAAAATTAATAATATTTTTTTATGAATTTAAAATTGTATGATTGCACTCGCTTTAACCTTTAAGTTTACTTTCTTTGGATGTACAATTTGAAAAACAATGGGCAACCAAAAATCATAAAATCAAATCGAACTAAATCAAATTGAAAACTGAGATTTTTATGTCATTCAATTTCGGTTTCAATTTTTTTTAAAAAAAATGCAAAGTGTTGTTCGATTAATTTTTTATTGAAAATCGAATTGAACCGAATTGAATATACCCTACAAGTTATGCAGTTTTAGTGACTTGAGCCAAATTGATCAAAACTACCCATTAAAAATAAAGGGAATAGTATAGTTTGAAAAACCAAACTGAAAGAAAATACATCCCTACAAGGTATAGAAAGAATAAAGGATACAATAGCCTATACAATACAATGCAATAGTGCCTATGGATATTTGATGTTAATATCTCTTATAAATTCCTCTCTCCTTTTTGTCCTTTGTCTGTCTCACCAATATTTGTATTTACAAGTTGGAGGATCATGCTTTTGAGGAAACCTCAAAAAAAACAGTGGCCAAATGTCGTTTTCTTCCCCAAATATAAATAATTCCCAATTGCATGCCAATCTTATCGAATATTCAACACATACATACCTTGTTTATACATGCAACTTTCCCTTCTTTTCCTTTGTTTGTTAGCCAATCTTACAAACTGAACTTGAGTGCTTTTATAACTAGGCAATAGCATTGTGGATATTAAAATTTAACTTTAAAACTATATTTTATCGGTTAATGGAAACAGGTACTTTTTCTAAAGGTAAAGTACAAAAATGTCCCCCAATTATAAGGTTTTTTTAGTTCTTCGACTATTAAAAGTTACAATATAATTACTTGATTATTCATATATTACAAGCTCGTCCATTTCCATTTAAAAATTGGCCGTCATCTAAGTTGGACGTTAACCTATTGACTAGGATATGATAAAATATGATCTCAAAACTGTTTGAGTTGTATTTTGTGGATCGACTCTCCGTTTATATTATATTGTCGAGCCAATTCTTGAAAAAATTATGTCGTCGAGCCAATGCTTGAAAAAATTATGTCGTCAAACTAGTTCTTGAAAACAATGATAGTGTCAGTAGACATCATTAAAGTATGATTTTATCATATCTTATTCAGGATATTAACGTCTTTCTCGACGACCGTCAATTTTTTAACAAAAAAACGAGTTTAAAATATATGAATAGTCGATGATCATTTTGTAATTTTTAATAGTCAAAGGACTCAACAAAACAATACCTATTAATTGAAAAACTATTTTTTAATCAGTACTTTATAATCGATGATCATTTGTGTGCTTTTACCTTTTTCAAAATTCTACCTATATTGAATCATGTGTATCTAGTAAGGGCAGCTCGGTTGATTGTTTTCGGTGTTTGTTTGGCCTGAGAAGCTTGCAGTTAATCGTGTTTTATTGCTCACCCTATATGTGTTATTCATCATCCTAATTTAGAGATTAAATAAAATATCTTCCATTTTTGTTTGGAGTTCTTGTGGGGAAAAAAATCCTATTTTTCACACGCACACAAAGAAACAAGTATTGAAAGGGAGATTTCAACCTACACCAGTCTGGTGAGTCAAAATCAACTGATGAGTACGTAAGAGGCAAATTAAAGCTGGGTTGACAAGGTAGGATTGATTGTTATCAAATAAAGTTGAATCGTATGCAAATTTTTGAATTAATTGAATTGATATGTTTTATTTTATGATCTTAGTTTAATTTGAATTTTTTAATCGAACTAAATATTCGAATCATATTCAATAAATTTATTTTAGTAAAATTTTTAAAATGAATTATTTTAAAAAATAGCTTAGATTTAAATTTTGTTAACAATATGACTGAATTCTAAGTAAAATAAGAATATATACTTGAAAGTTCCTTCCAATAAAAATAAGACAAAAAAGTTTGATAATTTAGTTGTTTAAGGTCTTGCATTTATGGTCTTGGAATATTTTTAAAATTAAATAATTATATAATGAATAAAAGT